CTAAATCTACATGTTACCCATCCCACCAATCTAAATCTAGATGGTACCCAACCCACCAATCTAAATCTACTTGGTAGCCAACCAACCAATCTAAATCTAGATGGTAGCCAACCCACCAATCTGAATCTATTTGTACATTGTACATTGTCAATAATATTCATTTTGACCAACCATGTTGTCATGAACTTTGTACATCAATTATATTTTAGCTATTCTCACTAAATGGACAAAAGGCTTTTCAGCATCTGGTGTTGCTAGTCAGGATGTTGGTGTACTTCTATCAGAATCTCTAAAACGAAAAGGGGTGAGTCTAATTCACAACAATACATTAATATTATTATCATAAATACTGAATGTTCATTTTTTATCTGAAGTGTACGTTATTGCTCCAATCAGCAATTCACTGCAAGATCTTTGTGTATTCATGAAAGCCGTTGTCTGCCGTAAAAATCAAGTGAGAAGTTGAGATATACTTACTTCATCAAAATTGATTATCATCAGATGTGTAGACCACATTTTCAAGTGTTGAAATACGCAATTAATAGGCTTTGTCAAATCTGTTTCAGCACCGCTATGACTATTGATTTTCTTGTTTTTACCTTTGATTTCACACATAACCCAGGGAATGCAAAATGTAGTATTGATATTTTCTCACTTGAAATGAGCAATTTGATTTATCCTATGATCTTTTTTTGTAGGTTTCTAATATAGAATTGGTTGCCGTTGTAAATGACACGACAGGTGCCCTTGTATCATGTGCACATCAATATCCCGATTGTCAAGTCAGTCTTATATTAGGTACTATATAGTTATGTATCATATATAGTACATACATGTAGTACTAAAGAAAATTAAAGAAATATGTCTCAAACTCATCGAATAGACTTGTTTTCAAAACAAATTTGAGTTCATTTGGTGGGCAACTGGAATGCTGTAATTAGTTCACTATGGGTCATTGCACAGTGACGTCTTTTGTTTACATTATTATAAACTAACATGTGAATGTTTGATAAAAATGTCACACACTGATCAACACTAGCCCGGGATATCATGTGACAACGAATGCCCATAAGTTGTTTTATTAAAAGGGACACAGAATATAAATATTTAGTATCATCATAAGCTGCAAATTATTTTTTTCTTTGGGTGTGGACAGATCACTGCCTATGTAAATGCCATGCAAAATGTAACCAAGCATGTCATTGTATTGTTTGAAATATTAATCTGTCATAACTTTCTGGAGGAAATATTCTGCTGTGTATTGTAAAACATTTTGTTTTATTGACAGGTACTGGTAGTAATTGTAGCTATATGGAGAGTCTAGATAATGTGGAGTTATGGACTGCTGATCAAGATGGGGAGCCTAAGCAGGTGATTATTGACACTGAATGGGGTGCTTTTGGTGATGATGGCACAATTGATGAATACAGAACAAATTTGGACAAAGAATTGGATAATCATACTCCTAATAAGGGACGACAGAGGTACAGAATGTATTATAAAAATTATTATTATTAAGTTTTTATGTTATTTTTATTATTAAGTTTATGCGCACTTTAACTATTACATTATGTATTTCATATGAGGGCATTTTTGATGTTCATAAATATTGCAGTGTTTCACCACTTATGCCGTGTCTGTGGTGTAGCACTGAGGCCATGTCTGTGGTGTAGCACTGAGGCCGTGTCTAATAGTTTCCCCAGTGGCAGCGTCCCTGTCTAAATAACTTCACTTCTTCTCTCAGTACTTCTCCCGTTGGCAAGTATTTTTTCTTGACAGGGTGAGTCTCTTTGTTGGGTAGAGGATGGTGAGAAATAATACACATCACGGCCACGTTATATGACTAATTCAATGGGTAAAGTGTATTTTTTTTGTAAATGGCTATTATTAATACTTAGTGACTTTTATTTTATGGTTTTATTTCATGCCGTTTCAGACAAAATTTGTCAAATACCCATCACAATGGCGACTTTTAAGCCATTCACCAATAGTTCTTAATCGGGTACATATAATAAAAATAATGTTATAATATGGATCTGTATGGTTGTTCTGAACTTGTAGAATTCCAACAAATACTATATAATATATTTTATGAAATACTGTGGAATACTTTATTTTCGCTGGAATTAATTTTCGCTGAAAAGGCTTTTTGGACGTTTTGTATGGAATTTATTTTCACTGATTTTTGATGAGCTTAATGTGAAATATAGGAAAAAATGTATATTCGCTGGATTTTATTTTCACAGAATCATCCCTTCAGCGAAAATAGCGAAAATAAATTCCAAGTGAAAATAAAGTATTCTACAGTACTGCTTTAAAACAAATTCCTATGAAACGACCTAGCTTTGCATGTTTTCAGACTGGTTTTCTCATAAATAGTATTTTGTACTGGGTACAAAATTTTAAAAGTCTATGACTAATGCCAAATCACTAATTATGTAACTTTTTAAAACAAATAAACGTGATAAGTTTGTTAACCTTATTTAATAGGTTGAATACACTCTAACAATTTTAG